GACAGTACCACGCCCTCAACTAAACTGCGAGCATCAGAAGACAATGCAAAAGCAGGATTACTGGATCTGACGGAAATAAGGGTTAAAGGAGATCCCATATACCAGTTGCATGCTTGACAAACTTCGTCAAGTAGCAAGCCCTCTGGCATTGTCCTTTGTTCTGGAAGTAAACTTTACTATTCCTAGGATACATATCAATGACTTAGACATAGACAGATGTAAAGGAAGCCCCAGCATCCATGCAATCCACTAACCAAATTTTGACGTTTTACTACTGTCAAATTCGTTGTTTGGTTGTTTTCATGTGCATCACTGAAATAAAGCCGTTGCGTTAGCACGGGCACTGTACTAGTCTTTTTAGAAGTACACAAAGGCTGAGACAGAGTGGTTGTGGTGATCGCTACCGAAGTACGGATTTGTCGCTCGAAGCCTGGCATTGAATTATTGAAACGAGGAAGCAAAGACGAGAATTTTCTTACCTGGTCAGCTTTCCTTGCCGTGTGGTAAAGACATGAAGACCTCTGTCGAGATAGTAGCCTGAATAAGACAGTTAAATCAAGTCAGGGTAGCAGGACTTCCTGGTAACGATTATTTCTCCATCAGAACACAGGTCTTTCAGTGAGAAGATCACTATATAACCCAATCCAAAGTGCTGTTCTTGAGTGTGCTTCTTCATCAACCAAATACCCATCAAATTTTCCCATTGAGAACACACAACAGAATGGCTGAATATAGGTTTCTTGTTCAAGAAACTCTAATAGCATTGTGCCTTCTCCTCTCTTTTCCACCAGGCACAGCCTCCATCCATTTATCAACACTGAACAGGCATCTCAGAAGAGAGGGCTGCGCTTCTATCGATCAAGGCAGGCCTCCTGGATCCTAATAACTACTTGTCATCATGGCAAGGTCAAGATTGTTGCAGCTGGATGGGAGTCAGGTGCAGCGAAAAAACTGGCAAAGTTGTCAAGCTCAATCTTAGGGGCATGAATTCAGAAAATTTTGGAGGTGAGATAAGCTACTCTTTAGTTAATTTACGACAGCTGAGATATCTAGACTTGAGTTACAACAACTTCTATGGGGTACAAATACCAGAGTTCCTTGGTTCCATGTCGAGTCTTAGGTATCTCAACCTTTCATACACCTTGCTCTATGGAAGAATACCCCTGCAACTTGGGAACCTCACCAAACTTGTCTACCTTGATCTCAAATGCTGGTACTTTTACAACCCTAGCAACAACTATCCCTTCTCAGTCAACCTTGCATGGCTGTCACAACTATCCTCATTGAAGCACCTTGACATGAGCTATGTAAATCTTCGCACAGCAATTGATTGGGTTCATGAAATTAACATGCTTCCTACATTAAAGGAACTACATCTGCAAAATAGTGGACTCAGATATACAGTTCCTTCTCTTCATCAGTTTAATCTCACGATACTCGAGGTGCTCGACATCTCACAGAACTTATTTAACACAACTATTACCCCCAACTGGTTTTGGAATGCAACTAGCCTCACTTTTCTTAACATCGAAGAGTGTTACTTCTACGGTCCGATTCCCGGTGAGATAGGAAAAATGACATCACTTGAACAAGTTTCTTTTCAACAAAATAATCTCATGTCAACAATGATACCATCAAGTTTCAAACATCTATGCAACCTGAAGGTACTTGATCTACAGGAGAGCAATATTGGAGGGGATATCACAGAACTAATGGAAAGGTTACCAAACTGTCGTTGGAACAAGCTGCAAATGTTAGATCTCATTGTTTTTGTCGCGTGATGACACTCACATTTCAAAAAATAGAAAACCCTTCAATACGATGTCGGATGAAGATAATTTTTATATGTAAATTGTAGACCTCGATGAGATCTACAACTTTATCGTTTTAATTTTTTTTATTTGAGGAAAGTAAGATGCTCGAAAAAATAATATAAAATTTCAGCACCATATTTTATCGCGTGATGAGACTCAAATTTCAAAAAATAGAAAACCCTTCAATACGATGTCGGATGAAGATAATTTTTATATATAAATTGTAGACCTCAATGAGATCTACAACTTTGTAGTTTTGAATTTTTCATTTGAGGACATTAAGATGCTCAAAAAATAATTTAAAATTTCAGCGCCTCCCGAAAATAGAAAACCGCTTTTGAAACCGGCCGAGGACCAAATTTGTCCGGTTTTGATAGTTGGAGGGTGTTTGTTGACCGGTTTCATAGTTGAAGGTTGAAAATCGAACTTCGGCGCGAGTTGAGGGTTGTAAAGTGTACTTTACCCTTTGTCTTTTAACAATATCAGTGGGGAGCTCCCAAATCGGCCAGGGTCACTGACCAAGACCTACTTCGTTCTGTCAGCCAATAAGCTCACAGGGATAATACCAGAATGGGTATGGGCACTCAGAAAATTGTTTATCTTGGAACTTCGTGGGAACAAGATAAATGGTATAGTTAATGAAGACCACTTAAATAGCCTTACAGACTTAGAGTTCTTAGGTTTGGGATTTACACTGCTTCAAATAAAAATCAGACCGAACTGGATTCCTCCTTTCAAACTGCAGGCAGTTAGTTCTCTTAGAATCGTTGCAGCTAGGACCGGCATTCCCATCATGGCTTAAATCACAAACAAGCATGAAGGTCCTTGCCATTTCAAATGCAAGCATAAATGCAATCCCAGATTGGTTTTGGTTGCATTTTCAGGAGCGGAGTTCTTAGATCTGGCAGATAATCAGATATCTGGCACACTACCAGCAACATTAGAATTTATGGCAGCAGATACCATGGTATTGTCGAATAATAGATTTAATGGTACAATGCCAAAATTTCCAAAACATATAACCTACATAGACATTACCAGAAACTCATTATCAGGATCACTGCCTTATGATTTTGGAGCCCCATGGTTGAGGGATATTATGCTCTATAACAATTCAATATCAGGCACCATTCCCTCTTCACTGTGCTCATTAGAAATTTTGGAACTATTAGATCTATCTACAAACATGCTGACTGGAAAATTTCCTAATTGCCAAGAGAATTCAGAACCATACAAGAGATTAGGTATAGTAAACCTAAATACCAACAATCTCTCGGGAGAGTTTCCTTCAGTTTTTAAAGGTCATCCAAACGTAATATTTGTTGATCTTTCCTACAACCAATTCTCTGGGAATCTACCATTGTGGATATGGGAGAAGATACCAAACTTGGTACTGTTACGTCTGCGGTCAAATATGTTTTATGGCTTTTATGGCCACATTCCTGAGCTTACAACGAGTAAAGAACTGCAATTTCTAGACCTTGCGTACAACTTGTCTGGAAGCATACCTCACTCATTAGTTAACTTGAGTGCAATGGCTCGTACTTCTGGATACAGCAACCTTCTTCACAGAAGCGTAGCTGGTCAAGGTCCTCATCTGTATAATTCAGAATACTATATGATTTATTTTACAGAACGTGTTCCGGTTTCCACCAAAGGGCAGCAACTCGAATTTTCTAGGGAGCTCAGCCATATGGTGATTCTCGATTTGTCATGCAACAGTTTAACTGGAGTGATACCTCAAGACATCGGCGCTCTTATCGCACTAAAAGGTTTTTTGTCTTGGAACCAGTTAAGTGGGGAAATCCCTGTGAGTATCGGTCAGCTGAAACAACTGGAATCTCTTGATCTCTCACACAACCAGCAGTCAGGCTTAATCCCATCCAGTATGTCAGGGCTCACCTATTTACAACAATCTATCTGGAAAGATTCCGACAGGAAAACAATTCGACACTTATGACGCATCTGTTTAAATTGGGAACATTGGTCTATGTGGGCCCCCTTTAACTAGTAGATGTCATGGAAACACATCAAACCAAGGCGCACATGGAAATTATCATGATTTGGATGATATATCCCTTTACCTTGCCATGGCAATAGGGTTTGTCATTAACCTTTGGGCGATCTTCCGTGTGATGCTATTCAAAAAGAGTTGGAGGAGTGCCTATTTCATGTTTGTTGACGAGTTGCATGACAAGATTTATGTGACTGTAGTAGTAAGATGTGCCATCTTGAAGAGGAATTTCGGTAAAAATTAACTATTGTTACATACTGTATGCATCACCATGTGTTCACTACAGAACTCAGAGCTGGTGTGTTGCGAGTGGCTATCTATGTAATGTAGCATATGGATATGTATGTCCGCTTTGGTACTTTCCTCCCATAAACTATCTTTGTTTCTGTTATTATTATGTAATTTCAATCAGTGTGTTGTAAATAATATAGAGTTCATAATCCTTTGGGAACTCAGTTTATCTTAAATAACCATTTGTGGAATCCTTATCTCGAGCATGGCATGTCAAGCAGGCTCAATGTCAGGCTGGCCCTTAGGTGTTCCCTAAGACGAAGTTGTTTGAAAGCTTATCTGAATTTTGTCAAAATTTTCACAGAAATCTGTTACGTCACTCTGAAGTTGTTTGAAAGCTTATCTGAATTTTGTCAGCCTTACATTGCACGGATCTTTTCCTAAAACTCAAAAAAAAAAAAAATCGATGAGTTGCTTGAACCTTCGAATTTGAAAAGTCTGAACAGCAAACATCCAAATTCACTGACTTTTTCTTAGAAAGTGCAGAGCGTGTTTTCTTATATTAAAAAAAAAGAGAGGTTACAGTCACCGAACAAATGGTAAGGAACGAAAAGAAGAGACAAGCCTCAAGAAAATAAAAAAAAAACAAGAAAGAAATCAAGACGGCAGGGAAACTCACTTCCTCACTGGTGATCCGTGCGCTTGGCCTTCGGGCGAGTGCCCAAGCCTACCGACAGACCTGCCTCTGGCCGCAATCCACACCGGTGCCCAACCGGCCAACCCCCCACCACATGGCGACGCCGGTCGGCGGGGCTACAACCAGGGACTAAACGTGGCAATGTCAATACTCGAGAAAAAACATGCTCAAATGCTCCTTCTGAAAGTTTGATTATACTGCGTGGTCCATCCTGCCCTTCAACTTAACCACTAATCCAAGCACTTCACTGACCAACCATTTCCACATCATGGCTTGCTCGTCCCTCTCCTCCTTCACCGTCAGGTACTTGCAGGGGCGAAGCTTCCCCTGCATCGCCAGGCGCTGCTGGCGGATGCCGTTCAGGTCCCGGTTCCTTATCAGATGCTGCTGGCTGTGGTGGTGGGTTGCCAAGCAGGCGAAAAACTAAATGGTTATCCCTACCAATAGTACAAACAACAAGCTCATCGGGGACACGGGAGACAGCATCGACGCGCTCAACAGCAAGTTCAGCCAAAGTGACATCGCTTTGTTGCGTGTCATGCAGTCGTCGCCGCTGACAGAACCAAATAACTGCCCATGTGATCAGTGCAAGAGCCCACGCAGCAGCAGTTATTAAGAACACCCCTCCTAAGCTGCTCAAGGTAATAACAGCAGCCGAACCTAAGACATTCCTTTGGCTGTCACATGCCACCTGGTCTCCAAACCACTTCCGCTCAATGCCCACAATCATGTCACCTTCCGTCACCTTCAGTATGGCCCTAGATATATCTGCGACCAGTGGAGAACCTTTAGGGAAGACCTGTCAGTTGTCAGAGAAACCATAACTATTAGGTCTCGGAAATTCAAAATTGGCAACGTGCGAACAGCATGTGTTAATTCATTTGCTTGATGAGCGATATTGACGAAAATAGATGGCCCTAGCCTACCACCATCTGCCACCTGAAACCAATGTATGCTCAGAACGGAAATGAAAGAACCAAAACTTACAAAGCCAAATCCACCGGTTTTGTATACACGGCCAACAAAACTGTGGTCACTGCAATGTTCGGACATAAAACGCTTAAGGTACGGTATCTCATCAAATATTGCTGCAACCCCGCCATTCCCACTTCCTCTCATCAATGCTTCAACATATTGATCTCGTGAGCTGTACTTCCTAATTTTGTGTTCATCAAATTTAAGGCTTGTAAGGAGATCCTTAACAAAAGATCCATCAGGGTACCCAACATAATCTCCATTTCTCATAAGTTGATTCATGTCGACAATTGTCGGCTGGAGCTGTCGTGCTGTCATCATGGAGGTTAAGCTTGCGCTATAGAGTTTCTCCAGCAACCAAACCAGCAATAACAGGTTTATTAGCACAAACTTTGACAACCATTTCTTCAACTTTTGATCTACAGAAATATAACAACCAACTTTTCAGGCCAAAGAAATACATAGATGTAGAAAGGACAACAACACAAGGAATATATCTCATAACGTATTAAGTAAAGCACATGCTTGAGTTGGCAATACTATTGTGTCCACATTTTCAATTTTAAGGTTTTATTACTGTCCCATTTTTCTATTACTACTATTGCAAAACATCTGTTTTTTATATTACAATTTCTGCAACTAATGCAATCTACAATTCTCGACACAGAGACTCTGCCCTAAAAATAAGCTACGCTAGGATGATGCAAGACTAAGAACAACTCCAAGAGACTCTCTATATATCTTTTCTAATTGCCAAGAATAGAGATTTTGATGACAAAAAATACCATCCAACAGCTTCTTCATTTGGTTGTCCAAATATAGCCATCTTTTATTCCGGATTTCTCGCTAGACAAAGATAGAAAACGAAAATGGCTCTCTAGAGTGCACGCAAGATATAGAAAAAACTATTGAAGATGGAAAAGATATAGAAAGCAATTTTTATGCAAATGGCTCTCTAAATAATGATTTAATGAGTGAGCTTTAAAAAGACTCTTGGAGATGCTCTAATGACTCCTTTTTAATAACTGTATTATCTCTTTTTTTTGCAAAGCAAATGTTTGTTTCATGCCTGGTATCTATTCATTCATATTCATAACGGGAAATGAGCATATTCTTTTGAAGAACTTATTTTGGTCACCTCTTGGTGTAGCTATGATCGCTTGAAAGCTGAAATAGGAAATATTGAAGAACTGTTGTAGAGCATTGCCACCAAAGTGTCTGTTTCTTTTGTGCTCACCCAGCCATACAACAAAACCTGTGGCCACAAACACAACCAATATGACTGCCCAAAGGACATTTTCTATGGGCTTAACAAAAATAAAAAAACTCTTGCTCCAGTTTTCCTTCATGGGAACAACCATCTGCACCCCTGATTCAGTGTAAGGCAATGTGAAGTCAACATACAAAGAGTGGTTCATGACTATTGTGGTATCTCCAACCATTGCATCATATACCTGTTTAACACAAGTAATTAAATCAAGCCCATGGAAGAATTGACCTTTATGGGGGTTGAACAAAAATAAACATCATACGAAGGCCCTATGTCAAATCTTTTTGTTGGAATGTGATCTCCGCTACAACCGAGACTTGGCATCTAAGTTTGGTCCACCTAAAACATTGCCGGTTAATTAGGTATATTTGCCATGATCGGCGGCAATCCTAAGTCTACTGGGTCCAGAAGGCCAGCTTCCCACTTCCTCAGAGCAAGTGCTACCCTGCTGCATCCACTCTTCATCAACAGAGGGCGTCTAGCTCCAGATTGTTAAGGACTCAGGTCTGCATGGATTACACCAACCTCTGCTACAATTATGGAGGAGTAAATAGCACCTGCAAGCTCTGGTTAGATTGATCTATTATAACTACCACTCCAAACCTGTATAAGTTAGTGATCATATTTAGACTAAGATTAAAATCTTGTTTAAGTTAATTCATATTTATTTTTAAACTTTACTTCAACACTTTTCTCTTGATATTTTTACTTCTTCCTCAATTTCGATCTCACATATCATATCAGGTCTGGTGCCTGTCCGAACATAAGAGCACATTTCAGTATGCAAAATGCTGTGCTTACCTTTAAGGAAACCTGGTAACAAAGTTCGCTGTACGACGAGGATATATTGCCAGGTACATCAACAGGCACATACATGAAGGGGACAGCATATGGCATCTCCTGCATGACAGCTTCAAAGATATCGATGGAATATCCCATCACTTCAAACTTTCCAGTGGTTTCATCTTTGTTTATGTTTACAAATGGGTTGGGATATGGTTTTATTGGCACAGCAATTTGTAACCTCTTTCCGGTCACTGGCCACTCCCAACCTTTTGGAGGCAATACTGACCCTCCAGGCCAAATCACTGTTGTCAGACCACCAGTAGCACTAGGAGCAGTAGTTAGGCTCGTACTTAGGCCTGACTTTAGTGTCCAAAACCCAGCAGTTTGATATGAATTACCAATTACATTGATAATCTCAAATGCAAATGGCTGCCGCTGTCCATTAAGTAGAGCAAAATCACCAGATATACCCTGGAATCTTGTGGATTGGATTGCATCAATTAGCATGGATCCATCCTGAGAAACACCCAGCATGCTTAGATCATTAGAACTATTGCTGTTCTGTTGAGATGGCATTTGGAAGCCAAGTGTAAGAGATCCAGTCCTCCGTAGCGCCATTGCAATCGCCCATGCTGTGTCATATGCCCACAACTGAAACACATTGGGGTTTGATGGATAAGGTGAACCTGGGTTTTCTTGAAGGTACTGTGAAACAAATCGAGCAGGGAAGTGGAGGAGCTTGTCTGATGGTGGCACATATGGACGGAGACCAAGAACCCCCTGCATTGAATAGATTGTGTTCTGGTCAAAGGAACTAAACATGTTCCCCACGCTGTCTGTCACAATCCAGGCATAACCATCAACAAGCATCTCAGCTTCATGGGCAATGAAAAAGAGGCGTGCGGCAATATCTGATGACATGTGCACAATAAACACTCGTGTCTGCATTGTCTTTAGCTTGTTAATCTCCGCCTTGATCTGATCATTAGTAGGTACAGAAGGAATAACACTACGGTACGGTATGTGTGCATTGACCTTATGGAGAGCATCCACAAGGAACGGTATAACACCTCTACCAAAGTCAGAGTCCTCGTAGATTGGTACAACTTGTCGCCACCCAAAGAGTTGGATAAGAGAAGCTATTGCAGGAGCCTGAGAGGCATCATCCAGGGCAGTACGAACAAAATACTTGGAAGGGTTAACTGACAGGTATGGGCTGGTAGCTGTGTAGGACAAGATAGGCACATTTGTCTGGTTGCCGATGCCAATTATGAACCTTGCCTGTGTTGACGTCTTTGGGCCAATGATGGCTTGAACTTTGTAATATTTCAGAAGGTCTATTGCTGCAACATTAGAGAAGAGGTCAGGAAAAGGGCGTTAAGCATTCCTAGATAAGAGGAAAGTAACAGCATAGGATACAGATCCAACATGCAAGAAAATGCGATAACTGTTCTAGGAGAAAGAGCAGTTGTGCTGATGGTCTCTAACCGGGATTAACATATAGTGAGTTACTGACATAGCATGTGCCAACTATATGTCCTTAATTCTGGTCACTTATGATGTCCTAGGTCATTCATTACTGTCACATTGGCTACCAACTGATCAACAGTCAGACAGTCAGGTAATACCAGCTAGTCAGTGGCCCAAACAGTTGGCTGGTCGTGGGTGCCTATATGTTCCCTTCCCTCTAGTCTCCATGACCAGCCACACACTTCGTCGTCAGCCTACATGTATGTGGATGATTTCGCATGTTGGACTGACTTCATAGTTAACAAACCACAGTGAAAGCACATGTGCCTCTTCAAAAAACCGCTGCTCACTGCATTTGGCAAGAACTAAACTTAATGTACAGAGTCTATGGAAATTGACAACAGTTGTTAAGTGCCACAAATGCCAGACACATCTTACAGGTGGAAATTACGACTGCAGCTACTGGGATAATTTTTATTCCATTATCTGAAAAAAGGGTTGGCGATTGTGTCCTTTTAGGCACTACAAAAGGACTCATAAAACAGTGAATGCCATCTCATTCAACACTAGGTATACACACTCACACTCTTAATAAAATTTGGCTCTTATGATCAGTGCTTGTTCCACCCCCACTGACATAGTTGATGTTTGGAATAGTGCTTGTATTCAGAATAAAGGCCTAAGCCCAAAGTATATACATGGCCAGAATGTATAAAGGCCCTAATACAATGAAGAAATATGCTACATAACATATACATCTAATGGTTGAATCCATTAAGCATAGGGCAATTACTCAAATTTTGAGGGGCAGACCTGTCTACATCATGTCTCCATTGTGAATATTTGGTCCAAAGTCAAGTCGATAGATTAGGGTTGAATTTGACTGCCAACACCCATATGGCTTGGCAAAGAGATAAAGCACTGAACACCCACTCCCATCCTACCATCTTCAACTGTTCATCAACTGAATCTATAAGATTGAAGCTGGCATTCAAATTAACTGGCTTTGAAGATATAGGGATTGTTTTGATTCATGAGGAGATTACATATAATGCTTCTAGTTGGTAGCTATATGAATTAAGTTCCTTATGAGCCCAAAAGAGATGTAGTCTAATCCCTATCTATTGACTTAGGTCCTTAACCATGTATGATTGATTTTCTTGTGGAACATGAACTGCCCAGCCGCTCACATCATGTGACAACGGGAGTAAAGCACGATCTATTACCGCATGGCTGTTCTCCCAAAGTCAGTAGTCTGATTCAAATAGCGGGCTATAGCAGTGCTATAGCATCACTATAGTAGTTTGGGCACCCGATTCTAAGCTAAGATGGAACGTCTCACTAAGACAGCTATAGGTTCTATAGAGGCCTCGGCAGACTGCTATAGCAGTTACTCCATACCATTTAGCAGTTTTAGTGATTGCTTTGCTAAAAAATATTCAGATCGTTGATTCACCGATCTATGGTTGGATTTTGATAGAACCAATGCAGCACTGTATTGTAAAAACCCAATATGGGTATACTTGAACGTTGTATATGCTGCAATAGCTCCTACGATTTGCTTATCTTGAGTCCAACATCTTGATGGGGCCATGAGGCAGAACTAGCGATATAGTCAGAGGTGGATACACGCCTAGGTAGGTGTGGCCACATTAATTCTCTATGGCTCAGTCAGGTTTGTTATAAATTGACCAAAGGTGTGGCCCAGCATAGCAACAAAAACCCATCAATCACAGGCTGTATTATCAAGTCATAGACTGATTCAAGCAGACTGACCTACTCATGGCTCGCCCAGGTGCATGTTGGCCTGAAGGTCTCGCGTCCAAGAAGCACCCACTGCCCTCTTGCTTTCACGCTCCCTCCCTTGTCACTCCCAGTCGCCAGGCACGAACCAACCCTAGCAGCGGCGTGACTAGACCTTTGTAGTGGCTGTCTGACGAGATCCTAACATATGGGTATGTTAAGCCTCGGGATCAAGGGTTCCCGACCAACGGACCCCCTGACCGATCCCTCCAGGATCGCCCGGGGGCTCAGGGGCTATACCCATCGGGTACGATCGTGCGCACCCTCAGACCAAGGATAAGGCCGAGCCTGAACAAGCCCGCCGCCTCTGCTCGACCCTCGGGGGGCTCGCCCGAGCTCGGGGCTCCCGATCGACAGGGGCCTAGACCCGATCCTTGGCCACCTCCTGGCCTTGGGCGCTAGCCAAGGCCCCGGCACAAGAAGACACGCCCCGAGCCATCAAGGCTTAGGGGCTCCCCGGCGCTGCCACTTGGGCGCGGCTCTGCCAACCGCTCCCCCGACAGGGTCACGCACAAGCGTGACACAAGAAGACAAGTCCCTCCGCAGCCTCCAGGGGCTCGGGGGCTTCTGGGCCCATGCGTCAGCCCCTCGAGCCGTCCTCCTTCGCCACCAAGAAGTCTCCAAAAGGCACACTTGGGGGAGGCCAGTCCAAGCCGACACAACCTGACACTCAGCGTGTTAGGACAGAGCAGCCGGACGACGCCCAGAGCTTCTTCGGCTCCACGACACCACCACGGTCCACAGAGCACCGCTGCAAGACCCTCCCGGACTCCGGCGCATGTAGACCATAGGCTCAACCCCCCAAACCGCCATGTACCCGACCTATCTCGGTATATAAGGGAGAGGTCGGATCCTAGAGGGGGGAGGACGATCTGAGACAGATCATTCCGTTCCTCACCGATCCGCTCCTGCTCGGCACTGAGAGCAGAGCAACCCTGAGAGGGGCACCGAGAGCTCCTCCACTGCACCGGTCATCTTCCTCCTCTTTGACGAGAGGAAGACTCCACCAGCGGCGAGGCAACCTCAGGATTAGCACCGAGCTATCCCCTACCAAATCTCTCTCTTTCTCCTGTACACTCTGTTGTAACCCTCCGATTTTGGGTGCTCTTGAGTATAAGGATCATCAACTGCTGGACGTAGGGCATCAATCGGTCCGAATCAGGATAAACCATTGTGTCCCCTCTGTGATTCTTGTGTTCTTGAGTCCACCCGAGCCACCGGAGACACGTACTCTGACACCACCTCGAACAACAATGCTTGCCGCGGTTTTGACCCCGCGACAGTGTCCAACTTGGAGGCTAGACCTAGACGTCAGCTCCACCGATGCCCGACGAGGTGGCAGCGAATTGGTGTTGTGATGCCAGTCGGTTGCGCAGTGAAGCCGTGAAGGAGATGCTGAGATGTGGTGCGCCGGTGCTGGACTACCGGTGTGTAGTGCCGGAGGCGAGCGCCAAACAAATAGTGAAGCAGGTCAGTGTTCCATTCCTCATTTCCTCATGTTTTCCCCAATCAAGCAGTCCCTATGTCCAGATTCAATCATCTCCATTTAAAATTTTCAATTGAACAAGAATTCATGGGTTATTTATGTTGCAATTTGTTGACTTCTACTAGAATTACACAATGAAAAGGACTGAGATACTGAAATCCATTTTTGTCAGTGTTTCGAGTAAACACCAACGAGTAAATTTGTATTATTGCGCGTTTGGCCCGGATGGTGTGCTAAAAAGACACAAGGTTTATACTGGTTCGGGCAGAATGTCCCTACGTCCAGTTCGCGGTTGCTGCTCGTGTTATTTGCACTGAAAAGTTCGTAGTAGGGCGTACAAACGGTCGAGAGAGGAACATGTCCCAAGTCTCAGATGGAAAGGTCGAACGGGTGCCGAGAGCTTGGATGCTGCTCAGCTATGTGTGATGTGATGCGTGATCCGTCCCTTTAGTGGGGTGTCCCTGCCTTCCCTTTTATAGACCAAGGGGAAGCAGAGATTACAAATGGAAGAAGGGAGAAAAAACAGAGGTCAAGGAGGTCCTTCAACGACACCGGGTCCTCCTTTTCCTCTGAGCGAGTCCCGCTGATACGGCAGATGACGCCAGGGATAGCTCCATGCTGGGCGCAAGTCCGCTGATCCTGATAGGGCCGCGCTGGGCGTCTGTCAGCAAGTGGTCACGTCCCATCCCGCCCCGGCGGGCGGCGCAACAGACCAGGGTGCTGATTCGCGACCTTACGAGGGGCAGACGACGCAGTGACCGTGCGTTCGTTACTGTAGATGACGCGAGTTTCCCGGACCGTAGTGGTTGTCGTATGCTTCCGTCAGGGTCCGCGCCCGAGGGCAAATGGCGCCCACAACACTGTAAGACAAATGTCGGCGCCTACAACACTGTTCGGGCTCTGACATGCCTGGAGGGGCTTAAAGCGCCCGTCTTGTCATATCCTGACGGTACTTTCCTGCAGGCGTGCAGGATATGGTCCTCGGTATTGCGGTTGACTTGAGTGTCCCGCCTTATCTGCGCGCGTAGTTATGAAGGAGCGTAGCGTAGTTATAAAGAGAGTCTTGCCTGCCGGTCGGCGAGGCGAGTCTCGCCGACGCCGCGGCGAGGAGTCGCTTTCGGACGTCGGGCGAGGCGAGTCAGGCGTCGGGGTGGCGGTGTTTGCCCTCGACGTCGGGCGAGGGGCAAGATGTGTAGTCGCATTCTTATGGTGTGGGAAGCATCAACGTTTGATGGTTATGAGCCAACCTTTGGGTGTGTACCCTAGTTATTTGTCGTTGGGCAAGATGTAGTCGCATTCTTGCCCCGGGTGATTCGGAAGCATCAACGTTTGATGGTGATTAGCCCCTCCTCTTTGTGTACCCCAAAGATTTGGTCCCCGACAAGTAGCCCTCGAGCCCCGGGTGATCTGGATAGAATCGCCCGGGGTGATTTGATTGACTGCCGAGAGGTGCACGCGCAGCACACCGGACGGTGTAGTAACCGAGCCCCGGGTGATTCGGATAGAATCGCCCTGGGGGTGATTTGGACCCTTCGCGGGTATGGCTGTGAGATTTTGGTGTTTTTGATAACTGGATAGTTTGAT